ATATATATATATATATATATATATATATATATATTTGTTAGTCTGATAATATCACCAATATTACCAGTCCATATCGTGTACTGATGGATAGTCCGATGTTGTCGAATTATCAGTCCACCAAGATTTCCAATTGAACCGTCTTGTCGAACGTCTTTTATTACAAAGCGAATCAACCTGCAAAATAACGTCTTGTACTACGAATTCAATCAACCTGCAAAACAGTGTCGTGGGCGGCTTCAATTAGAGGCTCCGACGCAAGTCAGCAATCATAAAGTATCATGATTGAGAGAACGTATCCAGAACTGAAATTTAGAAAGTGAACTTGAATCCCTTATAAATTTAATGATTTATTCCTCAAAGCAAGTAGTTACTAAGGAATCGAATATTTCAGATACGTAGCACCACCTCAATAATTTGTTGACGTGGAACTATTCTAAGATTTAGTTTAAGATGGATTAAATAAGTAATGTCTTATAATAACTAGTATATAGCTCGTACGATGCATAAGAATATCGTGATTAAGGTGATTTTGTCAATTTAATTTGTTGTTCAACGAATAATTAAATTAAGTAAATAAAAAACAATAAAATCAAAACAATAAATGTTATATATGATTAATTAACTACATATTTTATGCATACCATTAGTGGTAGGATTGTCTTTCATATTAGTGAAAATGAAATAAAACTTGGACTTGCCCCAGAATTCAATATTCATCTAATCGAGCTTAACCATCCTCAATTGCATTAATATAATTAAATAATAAATATTTATCAACTCATATGTGCAGTTAACAATATATTCATTAATAATAATAGTTATAACTCAAGACACGATTAGAGAAAATTTAGAATTAAACAAAAAAAAAATCTAATTTTCCTAACATTCACAAATGATGACCAAATTTCCGAGTTCGGGAACATTTTCATCTTCTTCATCGACCATGAGGTCCATGACACATGGGTAATCTTCAACGTCTGGACAATTTTTCATTTAACAATTTGTACATATTCTATAATTTTATTTCATTTGACAAATATAAATACTCAAAATTAGAAGTATATGAACCATGTTAGCTAGATTCAACTTTTATAATCAATTATTCAATTTCTACATATTCTATAATTTTATTTCATTTGACAAATATAAATTAAGGGATATGGTTATAAGATAATCACTTCAAGAATAATTTTTAAAAAATTAGAAAAAGTATAAAATTAGAATAAGAAAAATCAACATATTTATAATATACATTATCATAAATTATAAAAAAACTAAAATAATTTTATCATAATTAAAAATTAGTAAATTTTATAACTTAAAAATAATATTCAATATATATCTTTTTTCTAAATAAGTTGTCGGTATATATTATTTTTCACAATTTTCAACTTTACTATCATGTATTTAGTAATTGACATTGATATGGGATACCATACTCGAAAGAACAAACAAAATAAACTGGTCAATCAGGTTGAACGAATCGGGTGGTCGAAATAGAACAGTAGGGAGGTCGATCATCGACAAGGGATCTTCAAGTCGAAAGGAGTGAGAGGGGTTCAGAGGGACAACAACAGGTCGAGCTAGGGCCATCGGATGGCCTGCTGGAAACTCGACCTGTAGGCATGGTCGGTCATGTGATCGACCAGAAAGGACAACACTTAACCTCAGAACAGGCAACACTCTACCTCAGACGACCTCAAGTTGGTCGCACCATTAGGCGGTCTAATATAAAAGACTAAGAGATAAGAAAGAATCTTAAGGGATAAGAGCCGCACATGGATATGGCCATGTGGCCTAACAGAAATATTGGGAAGTTCGGTAGATCGGGCAGGCCGAGCAGTTCGGGTTGTACTATCGGACAGTTTGTGCAGCCCATTCGGGTAGTCTTGGACAACAAGGTATGATCTCCCTATATAAGGGAGTGAAGTATGCTCATTATCATATTACATTCTCTATCTTTTTCATACACTTATACTGCACTTCATCTTCTACAAGTGCTAACTTAAGCATTAGAGGCTTTTTACCGGAAAACCCCTCCGGTGTTAGAATTTTTGCAAGTCAAAAGGCATTCAACCGGTGAGGAAGCTCATACCAGGCCGACTTTCAGCCGGTCGGAGGTTTTTCACGTACTAGAAATAATATATTGTAACAAAGGATAAGTTAGGGAATAGACGGAAAGGTATTGTTGTGAATATTATTTATAGATAATATTTGAATATGTTAAATTTTCGTTTTCCTTCATTTCTAAACAGGATATCGAAATTGACAACTACTTTCATAACGGGTGAAATAAACATATAAATCATATATTAACTATTATATATCATAAAAATAAAATAAAAGATAAAAAAATATATCATTAATACTAAAATCTATTTATACAAATCAATGTTTATTTATTTTATATAATTTATCATTATTGCCACTTGTGGCACATATATTATTTTTTGTATGAACTTCCTTCCAAGAAAATTAGGTTGAGTAAAAAGGTTAAAAACTAGTATTATATTATTCGCCCAAAATGCACTGATATATATTATTCTCATTAAATAAAACGAGACCAAAGTTTGAATAAACAGAAAAACAAAATCCAAAAATGATTTCTGTCAAAGAAAATACTAAATGTCAACTGATTAATTATAGGATTAGTTTGGAGCGCAGTAAGAAATGAAAAGTGTTTGCTAATAACAACTGATGGATCATATTATATTATTTGGTTTCATGTTAAAAAGTTATGGTTTTCTCATCCCGGGAGACACGATATCCCCGAGTAACCCTTCTCCAGCAAGGCCATCATCAGATTGTGAGCTTGCCTCTTCTACTTTGTCTTTGTCTTGTGTGTCATGTGGCGGCTGCAATCTTGTCATAATCCGTGGAGAGTTTTCTTGGGGTTCGTTTGGCGGATTATGTAAATTAAGGTTGTTAGTGGTTATGTTGTAAGCTATGAAGCCGCCTATTCTGGGATATCCGGCCGAGTAGTGACAATGTTGTCCTTCGTACGTTGTGATTACCACTGAGGGGTCGCTCGATGATCGTTCGATCCTCTTTTTCACCGTGCATTTTGTGTTCGTGCACCGGTAATAACTCCTTGAAGAAATTAAAAGTAAGTAGCCCAATAATTATTAATTACAATCCATTCTATCAAAATAAACAATCCTTGAGAAAAAAGACAAACCTTGGGAAGGGACTATTTTTTACCGCCTTTTGGCCATATTTTCGCCACCGATAACCATCGTCAAGGTTATCAGTCTCGCTTTTAGTCGCGAAAGCAAAGGATTGCTGTCGAGTTCGCTTTTGCCCCTTCTTTCTGTTCTTGCTCCTGCAAAATTGGGACTGGGCTTAAGGGCAAAATTGGGATATTTTCTCTAGTTTGAAAAAATGATCAGAATAAACTTTCCATTTTAAGCAATCAGAATGCAAATATATCCAAAAATGGTAAGATTATGACAAGGATTAAACTTGCTATATATAATAAGAAGCTATAGCTAGGACTAGCCTAGCCTACTAAGATTGTAAAATCACCAAATATTGATAGGACTGAAATTGGAAAATGGAAAATGGAAGAATGACGATTTTGTTTGAATACTGTAGCTAAACACATGGGGGTTTCAAATAATTTGCGATTTTCTATTTAATTATTTCTGCAAATGGCAATATTTAAAGGGAAAATTGCACAATTCCTTATCGGATGAGTGGTAGTTTGCAACATGAATAATTGCTGAGGACTTTGACTTTTAAATATAGTTGAAATAGTTTTACTATATACAAAAATAATAGTTTTTATTCCTACAGAAGTAATAATATTAATTGTAATATAATATATAATAATCGAAGCGAATAAAATCGTCTCAAGATATTTGCCGCTGGTCCTATATTTTCTGTTAAATGTCTTCAATGCCCCTGCATTCTATCAAGATTTTCGGAAAAGTAATGCTTCGGAAGAAAAATGAACGGAGGGGAAGAAAAAAACGGATTTATTCATTCATTAAAATCACACACGCATGCATTCACCATACACCGACCAGGCATACTCACTCTGAGTCCTGCGGCGGAGGCCGGGCGGCGGAGGCGGCACCCGACGCCGTATGTTTCTCCACCGGATAGCCGGACGACCTCGATTGGGCCGGAGCCGCCACCGGCTCGAAACTACCACCGCCGACATCCTCGCTGCTACGATCCAGCCAACCAGCCGGAAAGCAGTCTCCGGCGCGGGTTCCCTGAAAATCCGACGGGACCAGGTTCGCATCTAGGAAACCGGCGGCGGCGCTCGACTCCTCCCAGCCGAACTCGCCGAGAATGCTACTCTCCGCGTAATCGCTTCGTAGGAAGTAGCCATGGCCGGCGGCGGCGTCAGCGGCGGGGCCCAGCGCCCAGCTCGGGTCGGGCGTCGTGACCGGATCCGTGTTCTCCGTACCGGACATAGACGACACAAAATCAGGTGCAATCGAATTAAAGAGATAAAAAATTAGGGCTTTTTTTCCTTTTTTGGGGATTAGATTTAATTTTTAGTGGTGGTCTTATTTTGATCCCTTTTTTTCCAATCTCCGTTTTATAGCAGTTTGATTGTGGGGTTGAAAAGGACGGGTTTACTTTTGAGTGCGTCAATATTTTTTAAATTGAGACAAAATATACTCCACTGCGCATCAGCTATTTGCAAATCTGGTTTTATTCACATTTTGAGAGTTTGTGCCTCGATTTTAAAATATATGATTGCGACGTATGAAACTAAAAGGAAGGCCAAAAAGGTAATTGGGACATGATGTAAATGAAATCACCAAACCGTGTTTGGCCATTTGGAGGGCCTTCTGTGGCTCAAAACGAAATTTTCGAAGTATTTTTGTACAATTGGATTTAACATTAGCTTATATTTTGGTAAATCTAACTGATAAGATAGTTTAAAGCTTTTAAGAAAAAATTGAGCTTATATATGATAGTTTAGACTTATGGTAAAAAAGTTAGGTTATATGATAAAAATGTTTAATAATTTTTTTAGTGCATAATGCATACATATATATATATATATAAATATGCGAACTTTTATAAATTTGTCACTCCTAACTGAAAAATAATGAAATTATTATCCATCGATTAAAATAACATTTAAATATGTTAAAAAAAATTCATTATCCATAATTCTAATCAAGAACTCTAAAATCACACTTATTTTATAACGGATGAATTAACATTTATATTAATATATATCATAAAATAAAAAATAAAAATTAATAATAATATTCAAAACTATTTTTATGCTATTCAATATTTCCTAATTACTTTAATTCATGTAATTTATAATTATTGTCGCATGTATCGCAAATGCTAGATACTATTTCTTAATATGGTACGCAAGAGTTTCAATCTTTTGTTGAATTTTAGATTCTTGGCCAAAATTATATTTAATTGGTTAACTCAAAGTACCATGGGATAAGGTTATACAAGATTGTTAACTCTCATTGAGAAATAGACTTGGGCCTGGTGCACGTATACATGGACAAAATGGGTTTTGGGCCTGGTTTAATGTACGTCTCCGAGAAGACAAAATAATAATAATAATAAAAATAAAAATAAAAATCCCTAAAGTTAAAAAGGTAGAGTTAGGCTTTTATAACTTGCTCAGTGAACATCTACACTTGACATCATATGTGACTCAACAAACATCGGAGTGACGGATTGTAATTAAGTAATTATTGGTGGACACTAGGCTTCCACGTATACATACCAATTTCAATTTTCATAGAGACCTTTCTAATCATCTTTCATTTGATTAATTTTATATGTATCTTATCTTTACCATAATTGCGCCTAAGATCCACAGCACATAGTAGCCTTTGACAATCGCTGGAGAGGCACTTCCTTCCCTTCATATATACTGATTAGTGCGCGCCGCATCTCACCTTTTGCAATGCCTAAATTTGTTCAAGATTGCGTGCCACCATGACTCTCATAACTGAAGTCAAAACTGTGTCAAATATATTTAATATTGGAATTCAAAAGTACTACTAGTTGAAGTCAAACGGTATTCATAAGAAAGTGAAAGTCAATTTCGTGATCGATAAAGTCAATGTGTAAAATTTTGTCCTACATGTAAAATGACATGGAAAACCTGTTCGAGAAATTCGCCTACTGCATATTTGGGCCGGATTTTGTCATCGTGCTCCTATTCGGGGACTCCAATTTCACAGGGCTAATCCTTCACTTCAACTACACGCCAATGATTCATAATTTCATATCCTAACCCAACTGCCATATTTCAAACAGACGGTGTACACGGTTTAGCTGGAGCCAGGAGGGGATAAGAGTTTCAAAGAAGCTCCTCCCCTTGTGATGTAGGGAAGCGTACGAGTGAGAAAGATAAATGAGATACTCTCTCGATAAAATAAACGAGATACTCTCTCGAAAAAACAATATATCATTTCATATTTTTATTCAAAATCAACCATCTAAAACAATAGATAGGGAGTCCTTTAAATAAGGCTCCTAAACCCTATTCCTAACTTGTTCAACAAGACAAGATCTCTTATAATAATATTTAATTTCTAACTTATTCTCCAAGATACATATGCTAATAATAATAATAATAATAATAATAATCTTAATAATAATACTAGATCTAATCTACACCATTCTCCCCCGGTTCGGAAGGCTTCGCCCTCGAAGGCGATGCACTCCCGTGGCCGGCGTATGGTGTCGAACTCATGGTAGGTAACCCCCGTCGTTTCTCCCGGTCGAACACGAATGATGAATGTCGTCCAACAATCCCGATGGTAATCATAGTCATGGGCATGGATTGAATTGCTGCAAAGGCACAAGTACACGCCTCCATATGCATAACCCACACAGCGGAATTAACAACAACACATCGGTCACCGCACTCAAATCCATAACTACGGCCAAGCATCCCGTTGTTGAGAGACTTCGGGATAGACAATCAGAAAATGGCCCACCAGTTATTGAGCCTCGGCTTCGGCTCCAAAAACCATCGTTGGCCAAGATACTCCAAAAATCGGGTTTGAACGAAGGCATCCCTGTCAAAGGTTCAACTTCTGCAACGTCCCACGCGGGACCCATATTGCTGCAAAGATATGTCTCTATCACCGGAGGCTCCTCATCGAAAATAGGCGGACCATCGTACAATGGCTCGTCATCTTCCTCAAAAGTTGCACTCTGTTGCTAGACATCTTGGTCGTCGTGCGCAGCAACAAGCTCAGTCTCGACGGGCGGAGGCGGCCACTCTCCGGAGGGATCCACCTCCGATATGGTCTCCTTGCCGTCTGCATCGCCGGGCGGCGGTTGTGGATATCGCTGACGGGGCGCCCCGCCTGGACCACGATCTCCACTTCCTCCGTAAACTCCCCCGCGCACACTAGGGTCGCCGGCGGCATGGTTCATCTGCAAATACCAGACCACGTTGTTAAGCGTCAAATGCAAATCCTCGATCCCCGTCGAAAGATCTGCAAACCAATCGGTGAAACGCACGTCTAATTGTTCAAATCGGTAGTCGATCTGTTGAAACCGATCGTTGAAGGTTGCATCACGTTGTTTGTTTGCGGCATCTTGTCGTCCCGGCAGCATCGCGAATCGTACTGACTGCTGATACCAATAGATGTAGGGAAGCGTACGAGTGGGAAAGATAAACGAGATACTCTTTCTATAAAATAAACGAGATACTCTCTCGAAAAAACAATATATCAATTCATACTTTTATTCAAAATCAACCATCTAAAACAATAGATAAGTAGTCCTTTAAATAAGGCTCCTAAACCCTATTCCTAAATTGTCCAACAAGACAAGATCTCTTATAATAATGGGGTGACCAGACGCGGTGGAGGTTAGGGGTGAGGCTGTAGGGTTGGTTCACGTGCACCGTGAGTACGGGATGATTTTTTTTAGTTTTATATTCTTG